CCCCAAAACCCCAAAACCCCAAAACCCCAATAAATATTTAATGGTTGAATTTTGGTCTGAATTTAGGCTTTTTGTCTTGAAAGCTGGGCTACCCTTTCGACTTCTCTCTTTGCATAGTTAACAATATGAGGGATTCCGCTCCCATCGATGTAATTGCCAGTCAGCCTGAACCTTGGGAGTTCAGTATTCATCGTCTGTACTATGTCATGCATCTTCTGAATATGGCCTGTGTTGTACTGAGGAATTCACTCAAAATTCTTCTTTAACGAAATGTAGTCAGCACCTTGAGTGATTCCATAAGTTTTCTCAAGAAACTCTTCACTTCTTCTGACAAGCTCATCATCTGGGAGATGGCATGCTTCTGGGAAGTGAGCTCCACCTAACATTACTGCGAAATTGGCCATTTCTATGTATAAAAATTATTAAAATTACTATCTCTTCTAAGTTTATCAGACTCCGGTGCATCTTCAAATGGAGGATCTACTCTTGAGCTCTATATTTAGTGGAGAAGGCTTACCCATCCATTTATGGCTACATGCCTGAAGAAGTTGATCCTCGATCTAAATGGATGTCTAACATCTAGAGATGAGCCTGTAATTACCGATATCAAAGTCAAATGTCTTTTTGTTCTGATATAACCCATTCTGCCTGAAGGATTTATGCATGGCTAATACTCCTAGAACTCCTTGGGACTCTTGAAGGTATCTAAAATGATCAAAGATCTTTTACCCAGATGGAGTGAGTACGTGCCCATGGCATTTCCCTGAAATATCAATATGCTGGAGATAAGAGAGATTCAGTGTTGCCATGTCAATATAATTAATACTAGACAAAGTATCCACAATTTCTTTGTGCTTGGAAGTCTTGAAATGTGAGCTATAGGTCAAAGCTGAGAATTACTCTGCTAAGATATGCTTAAGATGGTTTGCAGGTAAAGCACTGATGACAAAATCAAATCCTCGAGTTTTCTGTCTCTTTGCTCCTAAATGTCATTAACTTTAATCCTTACCTTCAGGTTTGTAATGGATGTCGAAGCTGTTCTCTCTTTCATTTACTCTTTCGATTGTAGTTTCTTTCATAATGTTTACACCATTATGCTCAAGTGTTTTCTCCAAGGAATTAATAAGATCTGCAAATCCTGATTTCATTACAAAGGCACTAGCGCCTATACGGGTAAACCCAGAGAAGGAGTTCCTTACCTTTGAGGTATCTCTGATATCTTTTGACTCTCTTGGATCTTGGCTTAGCCTTTGGAAATGAAGAAATTCTATCATCTGCCAAGAAGGTCATCATCACATGAAGAGCACTTTTAGCAGAAAGTTCTGAGATTTTTCCAGCCCAAATTCCGCTAAGGAAAGGGTCAATTGAATGGGTCACAAATTTATCATCTTCCTTCGTAAATTGCTTCATGAACTCTTTGACTGTAAGGTCATTTTCATGTGTGTTTTTCTGGATATTTTTATCGAGAGAGTATTTCAGTTTAATTTGCAAAAATTTCCAAACAAGCTTCCATTTCTTCAGCTGGGCAGTCTTTAGAGTCTCATCCTGAACAATATTAATTTTCATTGTACGGGGTTTGTCTTTGATAACTCTATCAAGAATCTTGAGTTCATCTAAAACATTCAAAATTTCAACTGCCATAGCATTATTCCTGACACTACGAGGTCCAAGCTCATGAACGAACTTATCAAATCAAATAGTGCTCATCCAACCTCCAAGGTTCTTATCTTTCTCATAAAGTGTGATATCTGCGAATGGGAAATATTTCCTCGTGTAAAAAGCAGAGACCAGACCAGAAATACCTCCGCCCATCACTGCAATCTTGTAATTCTCACTGTTTTGCACTGCATCAGGATAAGGCATCAGATACAGATTCTCCAAAGAGTGTATCAGGGCTGGATCTAAAGGTTTTTCCAGCTGAAAAGCCTCCATAAATCTTGACTTTACAAAGGAAACGACTGGTCTTTGTCCTTGACGGCTTCTGCATAATCAATGTTAAAAGACACACAAGATTATTGAGAACACTTACATTATGCTGCTGTTTCTGAGAGGAAGCTTCGCTAAATTTCTTGAAAGAAACATTTATGGCTACAAGAAATATTACAAAAATATTATTTAGGAATTTATCGTTCAATCTAACACCATGAATGAGGGGTTTTGGGGTTTTGGGGTTTTGGGG